GACATTAGGTTTGATTTTGTTGATCTTCGGAGGCCCCAGAGGCATCCCGGGAGTTTTGGAGACATTCCGCAGAGCTCTGGTCGGGGCCGGAAAAGAGGGGGGTGATGACTAGGGGGGGGGGATTTCATGGCACGGGCCATGATTTTTCCTCTTATTTCATGGCGCCTCTTCTTATTTTATTACGGCCCTGGCCCCCCCGCTGGGCCGCGCACATGCCGCCGGTCATGATTTGCACCCCCCCCCTCTTGGACACCCCCCTCTTGGCCGCTCCCGATCTGGGGGCCCTGCAGTGGGAGACCTTCGAAAACCCAGGAGACCTCTCGCAAGAGGTGGCAGGTGACGGTGCTCTGGCTCTGCTTGCGGGCCCTCCGCCGCCACCACCGCTGAGTCTGTCCGAAGTCCTTGCTGGACTGGCGGAGGCGGCGAGGGATGAGGGGAGGACAAAGACAATCGGGAGCGGAAAAGAGGGGGGTGATGACTAGGGGGGGGTGGATATCATGGCGTGGGTCATGATATTTCTCCAGATCTCATGGCGCCTCTTCTTATTTCATTACGTCCCTGGCCCCCCCGCTGGGCCGCGCACATGCCGCAGGTCATGATTTGCACCCCCATGTACATGAATCCATGTACATGTACATGTACATGAATCCACGCTGGTTTCGAGAGCACGCATTGCACAAATGTTCGTATAACGCGGCCGGTCTCGCGGATCGAGGGGCCGTGTTCATGTACATAGCTGGGCGCGTACGTCCTTTGTGGGCTCCCTAAAAGACAAGGCGGGGGGGGGGGGGGGGGGGGCACGCGAAAGGGGAGGGCGCGGGGCGAGGAGGGGGGGTGGGGGAGGCGGGGATGCAGGCCTGAGGGGACAGGGGTAGAGGAAGAGGAGGACCATCGGGAGCCCTTTGTGTCCTGTTGTTCGCTCTGCCCCCTCTTGCTTCTCTTCTGGGCGTATCCCCCTCCGGGAAGTACCTCCGCCCCCCTGCTCCGCCTCTCCTTGTTGGGAAGGCCTCGCGGCTGGTGCCGCCGACCCTGAAGGGGGACGACGACGTCGACGGCAGCGGTGGCGACGACGACGCTGACGTTCTGGAGCCCCTTTTGGGCCTGGGAAGCTCTTGGGCTCTGTGGGGGGCCTCACCCCGCAACAGCAAAGACGAGTGAGGAGGATTCCTCTGGGGGGGGGAGGGGCCCTGAATTCCCACTGTCCACAGAGGGGGATGTGGCGACCCCCGGGGCCCACCTAGGAACCCCCTGGGGTCAACCCCCGCCACCCCTCCCCCGGGTCCCCGCGGAACGCCCCCGGGCCAACCCCCATCGCAGGGAACGAATCACAAGGAAGGCGATGCCCTTCGAATCAGTTGCGACGTTGCTTGATTTCCGTCTGGCTGGATCACTTGAAGAGGACGACCCAGGAGAGGGGGGGAAAGCGGCGACGGCGACGACGACTCAAGCTGAAACATGTTCCACACACGCCGACAGCGTCGGCGGATTAGTCTCGCCCCTTGCGCTGAATTCCCAGCTGGGGATTACTTCATCTGCATTGTCCGGATTACTTCACCCCCTTCGTTTGTCTCCCCTCTTTCTTTCTCCCCTCTTCCCATCGCTCCCGCCCCTGCCACCCCAATCCATCCTGCACCATTCTGCCTATCGCCCCTCCCGCCTGCGCGTTCATGTCTGCGCCGCCCACCTTCTTCTCCGACTCGTTTTCTCCTGGAAGGAAGGGGCAGGCGAGGGAAAGTTGGGCAAGGAGCAGAACGACGACTATGATGAGGCGGATGAAGGAGGTAGGATGGAAGGGATGCGGAGGTGCAGAACTAGCAAGAGCAGGAGGAGGAACACGAGCTGCAAGCTGCAAAAGGAGACGGAGCAGGAGGAGGTGGAGGAGAAGGAGGTGGAGGAGGAGGAGGAGGAGGAAGAGGAGGAAGAGGAGGGGGGTAGAGCGGCAGAGGGGGAGCAGAAGGAAGGATGCAACTAGGAAAGAACAGGGGAAGGGAGGAGGCGGGCAGGGAAGATGAGAAGCAGGAGAAAGAGGAATGAAAGGTGGTGGCGATTGTCGACGGGCGCTTGCAGCCGACTGCGCCATCCCGAAAACCTCGCATTCGTTGACTGCGCCATCCCGAAAACCTCGCCATCCCGACTGAGCCATCCCGACTGCGCCGGTTCGCTGAGCGCATTCGCACCCCGCAGTGCCTTGTACGCGGCCGCGGAGCCAAAGAGGAGGAGGAGAAGGAGGAGGAGGAGGAGGAGGAGGTGGAGGGGGAGGGGAGGAGGTGGAGGGGGAGGGGAGGAGGAGGAGGAGGAGGAGGAGGAGGAGGAGGAGGAGGGAGAGAGGGAGGGGGAGGAGGAGGAAGAGGAGGAGTTGCATGGAAGCAGGGAGGAAGAGGACGCTGACAGAGCGTCCTCCTCCCCAGCCTGAAGACGATGACGGTGCTTCCTCTTCCCTGGGTGGCGCCGCAGGAAACTTGCGGCTGACCTGCCCTCCCTCGAGAAGTTGCGCATCTGGGCCGCAAGGGGGGGAGGGGGACGAGGAAGAGAAACAACAGTGAAGGAGCAGAAAGAGTGAGAGAGAGAAACAGCGGCAGCTACAGCAGCGGCAGCAGAAGGGGCGGAGGTTCAGGGGGAGGGAGGAGGAGGATGAGAAAATATTGGATAAGGGAGGAGGGAGGAGAGAGAGGACGAGAGAAGGAGCGAGGGCCTGGATGATGGACGACGAAGAAGTGAGTCTCTCAATGTGTCTCTGAGGCCGCCCTTGGTTGCCGTTCTCCACTCCATTCGCCGGTGTTTGAGTTGGCCGCTGATTCGGTCCTTCCCGTTTGCCATGAAATTTCGCATGCGTCGAGCATCGAGGTTCAATTCTCGAGGTGTGTCAGGCCAGGAACGTTTACTCAGCGTGTCGCGCCGAAAGTTCTGGCCAGTCTGGCTTCAGCGAGTCACGCTGAGCACGTCCCAGTCCCGAGGCATCACCGTTCAGAGCTGCCCCTTGCCTCCCGTCCGACGAAGCAGAGCGACACGCTGTACACTTGCAGGGCACAACGTGCCCCAGGGGCCTCCACCACAATGCTCTGAGCAAAAGTGTCTGAGCGTATCCTGAGGCATGGCTGGACCTAAACGTTCTTTTGCTGGACTTCGGCTGTGATTTGTTTTTATTTTTGGGAGGGAGGTACAGGAAAACAGGTCGAGCAAAGCGAACAACAACACGAAACCAAAACGAACACACAACATTTAGGTCCAGCCCTGGGGGGCACTCCCCTCCCAGTCAATCCATTTCAAATACCGTCCACTCCAGATGCCCACCGACATCTCGTGCAATCCCCCCCGGTCTTCCCCCCCCCTTCTTCGGTTGGCCATCATGTGACATTCGAGAGCTGCTGCTCGGTCTCCTCCTCTCCTCCTGCCGCCTCCCGCATCCGCCCTCCTCCTGTGTCCTACCTTGCCTCTTGCCTCCCGGGGTGCTGCCGCCTGCTCCCAAAGTGCGCAGCTGCCGCCGCGTCCGTGCTCTCCTCGGAGCTCCCAGCGGAATGCGGTGCTGCGGAGATTTGAAGGACACCTCGCCCGGTCTGATGCTGTCCACGGCGCAGCCGTCGCCGCTTGCGTGGGATTTTGGGAGGTCAGGCAGAGCGCTGCGCTACGGGGATGCAAACGAGACGTGGCTCTCCCGTGAGGGCCAGCGGAGTTACCTCCTGGGTGTTGCTCAGCGCGCAGATGTTGCCACCTTTGTGGGCTCCTGGGATGTCCAACGGAGCGACGTCCCACGGGGATCCGAACGAAACGTCTCCCTCCCTGAGTGCTGCCAACTGCGCAAATGCCGTCGCGTATGTGAGCTGCGTGAGGTCCCGCGGTGCGGCGTCCCATAAGGATCCACGTCCAGAGGTGACGTGCTGAGCGGCAACGTTTTTCGGCGAACGCCTTAATGCAACGTATCCAATGTATCCACAGATTACATAATTGCAACGTGTTGTATTGTGTTACATTATTATGTCTCCCCCCCTAACCCCCCCCCTGGGAGCTGCGCCACACCGCTGGACCAAAGTGACCCCCCCCTTCTAGGGCCCTAAAAACATACAAAAACCTATGAAAAAATCAACACATTCGGCCTCTTGGGCCTCTTGGGGCTCCAAGAGGGCCTCAAGATGGCCCAAGATGGCCCTATATAAGACGGCCCAAGACGGCCCAAGCCATTCCCAACGGGGGCCCATGAGGCCCCCAAGACGGCCCCAAGAAGGCCCCAAAAGCTCCAAGGACGGCCCAACAGGGCCCAAGAGCGCCCATAATTGCGCCTCCAGAGGCCGAAATCATTGATTTTCCGATGGTTCTTGCAATATTTTAGCGTTCTCGTTTTTTTCGGCTTTCAAAAATCCATGACGGCCCAAGCAGCTTCCAGAATCGCCCCAGAACAGCCCAAAAAGCTCCCAAGAGGGCCCCCAGACGGCCCAAGAGGGCCCCAAAACGACCCAAAGAGGCCCCCAAGACGGTCCAAGAGGCAGCGACGACGGCCCAAGAGGACCACAAGAGGGCTCCAATGCGGCCGCGAGAGGCCCCCAAGACAGCCTCCGAGAGGGCGAAACGGCACAAAAGCGCCCCAAGACGGCCCAAGACGCCCCCAAGAGGCCCCAAGAGGCCCCCAACAAGCCTCCAACAAGTCCCCCAGAAGTTTCCAAAAGGCCTCCGACAAGCCCCCCAAAGGCCACACAGCGACTGGTGTGTAATGTTATTTTCCCCACTCTGGGCGAACTGCGGCGCAGCGCCAGCCAGGTGGAAGTTGGTCACTGCGGCGCCCATGATTGGAGCCGGCGATGGAAGGGAAGATGGGGAGGGTGTATGAAAAGAAGGGAGGGGGGAAAGCTCCCAAAGAAGCCCCCAAAAGGCCAAAAGAATCTCCCAGGAGGCCTCCAGGAGGCCTCCAAAAGGCTCCCAAGAGGCCCCGCGACGACGTGACTGTTCGTGCTCCGGACGTGCACCCCGCGAAGCGAGAGGAATCCACGTCCGGAGGTGACGTGCTGAGCGGCAGCGTTTTCCGGCGAACGCCTTACTGCAACGTATCCAATTTATCCAATGATTGCATACTTGCCATATGTTGTATTGTGTTACATTATTATGTCTCCCCCCCTAACCCCCCTCGGAGCTGCGCCACACCGCCGGACCAAAGTGGCCCCCCCCCTCCCGGGGCTCAGAAACCAACGAAAACTTATAGAAAATCGATGATTTCGACCTCTTGGGCCTCTTGGGGGGCCGAGAGGGCGCCAAGACGGCTCAAGATGGGCTCTGTGCGGGCCAAAACGGCCCCGAGACGGTCCGAGATGGTTCCAAGAGGGCCTAAAAAGCCCCAATGACGGCCCAAGAGGGCCCAAAGAGCGCCCACAGTTGCGCCTCCAGAGGCCAAAATCATTGTTTTTTTCTTATGGTTTTGGCACTATTTTAGCGTTCTCGCCTGTGCGGCCCAAGCAGCTTCGCAAATAGCTCCAGCACAACCCAACAAGCCCCCAAGAGGGCCCCGAGACGGCCCAACAGAATCCCAAGACGGCCCAAAGAGGCCCCCAAGACGGTCCAAGAGGCCCCTATGACGGCCCAAGAGGACCCCAAGACGGCCCCAAGGCGGCCGCGAGAGGCCCCCAAGACGGTTTCCGAAGAAGCGAAACGGCGCAAAAGCGCCCCCAAACCACCACAGACGCCCCCAAGAGGCCCCAAGAGGCCCCCAAGAGGCTCCCAAGGAGCCCTAAAAAGCCCCCAAGAGGCCTCCAAGATGTCTTCAAGAAGCCTCCCAAAGGCTCCAAAGAAGCCCCCCAAAGGCCACACAGCGACTGTCAGAAGACGGCCCGAGATGGCCCCAAGAAGGCCCCAAAAGCCCCCAAGACGGCCCAAGGGAGAGCATAATTCCCACATGCTGTGCTCTGTTGCATTATTATGTGTCCCCCCCTACCCCCCCCCTTGGGAGCTGCGCCACAGGAACGGACCAAAGTGCCCCCCCCCCTCCCGGGGCTCAAAAACCTACCAAAACGCTCAGAAAATCAATGATTTCGACCTCTTGGGCCTCTTGGGTGCCAAGAGGGCGCCAAGACGGCTCAAGATGGGCTGTGTGCGGGCCAAGACGGCCCTGATACGGTCCACGACGGCCCCAAGAGGGCCCAAAAAGCCCCAATGACGGCCCAAGAGGGCCCCAAGAGCCCCCTCAACTGCGCCTCCAGAAGCTCAAATCAGTGATTTCCCTATGGTTTCGTAATATTTTAGCGTTCTCGCCTTTGCGACCCAAGCAGCTTCCCAAATCGCTCCAGAACAACCCAAGAAGCTCCCAAGAGGGCCCCAATACGGCCCAACAAAACCCCAAGACGGCCCAAAGAGGCCCCGAAGACGGTCCAAGGGGCCCCTATGACGGCCCAAGAGGACCCCAAGACGGCCCCCAGGCGGCCGCGAGAGGCCCACAAGACTGTTTCCGAAGGAGCGAAACGGCGCAAAAGCGCCCCAATACGGCCAAATACGCCCCTCAGAGGCCCCAAGAGGCCCCAAACAGGCCCCCAAGGGGCCCCAAAAAGCCCCCAAGAGGCCTCCAAGATGTCTTCAAGAAGCCTCCCAAAGGCTCCAAAGAAGCCCCCCAAAGGCCACACAGCGACTGGAGTGTAATCTCATTTTTCCAACCTGGGCGAACTGCGGCGCAGCGCCAGCCAGGTGGAAGTTGGTCACAGCGGCGCCCATGATTAGAGCCGGCGCTGGCAGGAAATATGGGGAGGTTGTATGAAAAGGAGGGAGGGGGGAGAGGCCCCAAAGAAGTCCCCAAGAGGCCAAAGGAAGCTCCCAGGAGGCCTCCAGGAGACCCCCAAGAGGCTCCCAAGAGGCTCCGCGACGACGTGACTGTACGTGCTCTGGACGTGCACCCCGCGAAGCGAGAGGAATCTGCACGAGGATCTGCCTTTTTCGTGAGTTCCTGGAAGGTCCAGCGGGGTGCGGCGCTACGGAGATCCAATCGAGACTTCGCTTTCCAGGTTGCTGCCACCTGCGCAGCAGTCGCCGGTTTCGTGAGCTCATGGCAGGGCCAGCGGAGTGACACGTGGTTGAAATCCACACAGGACCTTGCCTTATCTGAGTGCTCTCAAGCGGGAACCTGGTGTCTGCGCCTGCGCAGGCGCAGGTTCGCCCGCACAGGCTCGCTGCGGCGTCGGGCAGGTTGCTGGTGATCCGAGGCCCAGGACTGGAAGTCCCTCCCGAGGGCCGCCCGCTGAGAAGGTGGCGCGAATATTGTGGTAGCTTACGTTGCAGGGACAAATCCTGGGAGGGTTATCCGGGGGGGGTTGTCCGGGGGGGCTGTCTGGTTCTTCGTGGGATTTGCTTGCGCACGCACATGCCTTGATCATCCAGATCATCAGAAGCATGGCGCAGCCAGTCAAACCCAGCTGGAAAGGGCGCCTCTTTCTTCCCCTTCCCCTCTTGTTCAGTCCTCCTCTCTCGCGTCCTCCCGCTCCCGCTCGCACTTCCTCATAGATCATTGTTCCCCACGAAGCGTGGCTGACTGGA